GTGCCCCCAATTTTAAATAATGTTCAACTTGCCATTTGTCCACAGTAACCAGGAATATTACACCCACTCAGTTTTCAGCAGGAGCTTCTTGCCGACAGGCCAAAAGCATTCATTGTAACAACAACTCACCCTAACGAGTAACAGTTCATAGCAAACCCTTGACATTGGCAGCTAAGTGAAAGAAAAACCACCTATTGTCCAGCCTTCCTCCCTTCAAGTTAGAACAAGTAAGCCCCAAAGGTAACAAACAACCTGAATGTGGCAATGTACCGTAGAAAGTCCTCTTATAATTAATTCCAACTCAGAAAAGTATGTGACATTAGTTAGACAAATTATCCAATCCCTCTGGGCCACTGTCAGATCATCTTTATGGTCTATTTTAATTCTCATTTTTCATAAGAATCCATGCATGAATTTTATAACAGAAATACTGCTTGCTTTATAATTTAAAGGTAAAATATAGATACCACTAAAATCAAATCTAGAAGTTCAAGCAGAACAGCGGCCTGGACAATATACATTTTTCATGAACTATCTACCCTTATAGATCCCGAAATGTATGACCTCAGGCCAGGATGATACGTGACCACTTCCTTATTTCTCATAGTCTGGAAAATAAAAATTTTCTTGTGCTGTTGGATTTCTGGAGCTTAACCAGCTTCACCAACAAGCATGTCCAAATGCCTCGATCATCAGACTGCTGGACATGTAAATAGAGCAATTAACCCCCAAGTCTATGACAAGCAAATAACATTGATCACATCTTTTAAAATATGTAATGAAACAATTTGAATGGATTTTTATCTACCATTCTAGAGAAAATGTTGTGGTACGCTAAACACAATCAACACCTATATATAATTAACTGTTATTCAGCTGGCTTTAATAAATAAAACTAGGTAAGTCACAACTGCTGTGTCTGAATTGCTAATGCTTTGTTTTGTTTTGTTTTGTTTACATTGCAATCCAGGCCTATCTCAAGAAACAAGAAAAATCCCAAATACAAAATCTAGCAGCACAGCTAAAGGAACTAGAAGCAGAACAACAAAGAAACCCCAAACCCGGCAGAAGAAGAGAAATAATGAAGATCAGAGCAGAAATTAACAATACAGAATTCAAAAGAGCAGGAGATCAATGAAACGAAGAGTTGGTTTGTTGAAAAAAGAAACAAAATTGATAACCCTCTAGCCAGGCTTCTCAAAAAGAAAAGAGAGAGGAAACAGATAGAAGAGAGAAATCACAAAGAGATAAAATCTCAAACGAAAACCGATTTGTCACAACCAATCCCTCAGAACTACAAGCAATTATCAGAGGATACTGTGAAAAATCGTATGCCAACAAACTGGACAACCTGGAAGAAATGGACAAATTCCTAGACGACCAGATTATTATTAAAAGTGAACACCGTGCTGTGACACTATAATTACTTAAGTGACACAAAAGTACCCCACATAAGGCAAATGGTATTTCGTAGCGGCTACTCACCTGAGAGCTCTTGCCGCATTTAGCATCTCCTGAAACGATCACAATTTGATTTTGAAGCAGATTCTCCATAAAGGAGTATTTTTCTTTCCATATTGGCAGATCCTCTCTTTCTTTTAGCAGTTTGTAATAACGTGACGAATAAGGCAATCCATCAAAAGGGTTAAGTTCCAAGTCCTCGCAGGCCAAAACCCCCTCCTCATCCCCATCGCTGGAATCAAGGGATTCTGGGAAATAGCGCTTCTCGGACGCAGAGTTGGGACCTTCCAGCTCTTTTTCTTCCATCTCGTCCGAGAGGGAGCTTAAGCAGCTGGCATCCTACATCGGGTTCCTCCGACAATCACCCACCGCCAACAGGGTTGAAAGTCCACGGACACAGACTCCGGTGTCCTAACTGCCAAGACTTCAGTCCGCGGTCTGGGCAAGTCGAGTGCCTCAAGTCTGCATCCGGTCGCCTCCACTGGGTCCCTTACGGTCCCGGCTCACGAAGCACTCTTGAGCACGTTAAATGACAGTAAACCACGCTACCAACAGACAAACAAAGAAGGAAAATCAGACACAAGGTGTTCAGGAGAAAAAGCACCGGTGTTCAAAACAAAAGCGTTAACTGGTTTTTTGTTCTTCTTTCCTGGGAACTGGCTACTGTCTGTCATTTCTGTGGCCTATTTGAAAGCCGAGGAATAATTCAAGGCTCGCTCTTCAAGTTGGGGCAGCTGCGGTTTCCTCCCCGCCGGCCTGGAGACGGTGCCACGCTGGACCTCGTGCTCTCGGCCTGACCTCGATCGCAGGCCCTGACAGCAAAAGCAGCAACCAGGGGATGCGGTGGCCGTTAGGCCCCACCACAGGGTCTCTAACGCCACTACGAGAGATGCTGGGCCCTGTGACAGGGAGGACTGTCAGGGCCCAGGGGGTGATCCCCTAACACTGGTTACCAGTCTCTTTTTTTTTTTTTAGTTAAGAAACCCTCTAGTTTAAAAGAGTATTTTTTTAAAACTTCATTTTCCATTTGCCTGTGCCAGTTGACAATGTCAGGCGAGGGAGGTGGATTTCTTTTCTTTTTTTTTTTCCATTTGAGGCTATCACTAGCTTTTATTAGTAAGGTCGTGTCTGTGGAAGCGAACCAGAAATCTCAAGCCTGTTTCTTGAGGTTCCAGGGTCTGCAGCCCAAAATGTCAGACTCAAGACGCAGTAAAAAGAAAACATTTATTTTAAACGAAGAAGAGAAACTCCCCCGGCCAGGACAAATCGACACCAGTAATGTATTCCCTACCTGTCAGGTAAGTGATCTTCCAGTCAGGAGTGATTTTTAAAAAAATCCAAATCAACATTGCTGAAAATAAGCGTCTTTTCACATTAAGCAGGTGAACACACGAAAAAGTCAGAAAAACTCAAGTAAAAAAAGAGCAGAGCATAAAATGCCGTTCATGATACTGTCAGTGAAATTACTCTTTTTACAGCACTCCATTTATCCTCACTATTGCTTTAGACTGTTGGGGCTCAAAGGGCCAACTCCTCAACGTACATAATAAAAAAGGCTTCCCCAATGGTCAAGCCAGGCTCCAGGGAAACAGTCAAACACTCCAGAAGCCCCTGCTGAGTGCCTTCTCAGGGCCTCCATTAATAAACCAGCCATGAGACACACACATAAGGATACGTTTGGGGTCAGGACCAAGAGTTTTAAAACTCACACAAAAATAGGCCAAAGGAGGGAGAAACATAACCAGAGGTGGGGGGGGGGGCGGGGAGGGGAAGGATGTTGGAGCTCCTCAAAGGTAGAGTTCTTCAAAATTCATTCTGGAAGCCATTGTTTCCAAATTAAACTGGAGTTACAACGATGTAATAACACAAATGTAACATGGATTAACGGCCCAGCTCTTTGCCACCCCCCTATGGTGGCACAGAATAGATCCAAGAAACACGATGGCTTGAGATCACAGGACAAGCTAACGTTGAGAAGGTATCCAAGAATCAGAAAATCCCAATGCTTAAGAGAAGTTAACATTTAGTTTTATGTTCAACTTTTGCTTTATTCTGATTAGAATCCCTTCTAGGGGGTTCTCGTTTGACAGGTAATTTAAATTGTTGCCATGACCGATGATTGTTGGAGGTACTATTTCTGAACTGTTTTACTTCAAAAAAGAAAAAAAGCACAGCTATTATTTTTACCAGATATACACCCCTGAAATGCTTCTCTTAGTTTTACAACACTCCTTAAAGATGAAATTATCTTGTACTGAGAGTCACATTTATAAAGGATCGAGCGCTTCAAACCCCCAGGGAACAGTCAAGTTTTCTGAAGAGTCATCTTTCTAGGATCTCAGGGTCCCCTCGCCCCTTCACCACACATACGCTGTACAGCTCTGTCACCCATTTCTCTGTCACGGTGAATTCAAGATGGCGGCAGATGCTCTGCCCCTGTTCCCCTGGAGAGGTGGACTCGATTTCCTCTCCCTTTACTCCGAGCTGGCCCTGTGAATCTCTGCCGTCAAAAGAAGGCAGTCAAGTGATGCTGAACCACTTCCAAGGTATTCACATGCCTGAATCACTCCCGTTGGAGCCGGCTGTTATTGGGTGAGACGGCCAAGCCACGTGAAAAGGTCAGTGGGAAGAGACCAAAACTGGGCTTCTGCTGACAGAAAGCACAGGCATGTCATGTGGGTAAGCCACGGATAGTGCTCCAGCCCATTCAGGTCTCCAGATGCCCACAGGCCCAGCCAACACAACAGCCAGCAAAAGCAGCACCCACAGGAACCCAGTCAACCCAAAGAATTGTGAGAGGGAACACAGGGTCACCGCTCCTGGAAGCTACTACGTTCCAGGGTAGTTTGTCGTCTTGCAGCAACAGATAACCAAAGCTCTGCCTACTAAAACGATCTAACTTTCTCTTCATGACTCAGGGTCACCATTACGTCAGTTCCTAAACAGAATGATGTCCTCAGACTTCCCTTAAGCGTCCACGGGTTAAAGGCCAGACTACTGGTCTGAAGAGCCACTTTTCTGCAGATTCAGTCCCCACGTCCCACTTTGGTCAGTGAGCTTGCCCTGTGAGGCCCCCCTCTGCTTTTCTAACCTGCTCTCCTACCTGGCATGTTAGAAACCAGTCAGGCTTGTTTGACAGGAAGACCTGTAAGGTCGAGTCCTCAAAGGGTTCTATGTTGACTCCAGTAAGTCTGAGCAAAGCTATGAAGTCTGTGACATCTATTTTCACTGCTCAGATGCACTTCTTGCCGCTCTATAGTTCGGAGTTCGGGATTTCGACGGGGCAGTGGCTGAGTCTTCAAGATGGAGGACACCTCTCTGCATTTATCCTGCAACTGACATGAGCCATGTCAATATTTTCTGGGATATAATGAAATACACATACAAGAGATCCGTGTTTCGGCCTTTGGCAAATTTAGTAATACCATCCTAAGTAAGGGAAAACAAATATGGTAGGTTACGTGCCACTCAAAATAAAATTTAGTAAAAATTGTTCTGTTGCCAGTAGCAACTATGTTGCACTCCAAAGAATCTGAGAGATTGGTAATTTGCTCCTTTTCAAAGCTATCTTACCTATAAACTTGGGACTGCATAATCTGTCAAGGACCGCCCTTTGAAGTGAGTCTATTACAACTTTTAAACGAGTACTTATTAAAATACTACAGACCTAACGTAACACGAAACCACCTCAACAACAAAGAATCAGAAGTTGATGTAAGAGGAGCTACATCTTAGTCATTCCGATGCTTGGCTCTGGTGCAGTAATTCTAGAAATACAGTTCACAGAAATGGAAAGATAAAGTTTGCAAGGGGCTAAGTAAAACAAGGTCGTGAAACCCGTCCGGAGAAACTCTGGTTTAGGTTTCACAGTTCAACGCTCCTCTTCTGCATTTTTCTCCGTGTTCAATTTACTATAAATATATATTCCTCACACCGATCAAATTCTCAAATGTACAAATTTAGGACTTCACGGAGATCTAAAAGGGCCAGTGTGGTCTCATCCGGTCTCACGGCTTCAGTGCCATCCACACGTGGGGGACTCTCACTTATAGGTCCTGTTAATCCTGGCTCCTAAACTTCAGTCTCCTGTGCTCAACCACCGACTGGTCACCTCTACCTTGGATATGACAGGCATTTCAACACGTCCTAAACCGAGCTCCTGATGTCTACCCCAGAGCCACAAAGCGGGTCCTGCCCTTCTCGATGACTTCCTCCCTTTCAATGGCTCAGACCCAAAATGCTGAAGTTATTCTTGATTTCCCTTTATCTCAAATTCCCCTGCCTACAAAGATGTGCACATCCTAATCCCTAATCCCTGGGACCTGTAAATCTGTACTTTGCATGCCGTCTTCGTGAAGACGTCATGAAGCTACAGACTTGAGACAGGGAGCCCACCCTGGTGAATCCAGGGTCATCTTGAGTCCTGAAATCAGACGACCTCTCCCAGTTATAGTCAGAGGGAGACAGGACTATGGAAGAAGGGCCAGAGGGATGCCGTGTTGCTGGCTTTGAAGATGGAGGGAGGGCCACGAGCCAAGGAGTGACGTGGGTGGCCTCTGAAAGCTGACAAGGAAGTGGATTCTCTCCTAGAGTCTCCAGAAAGGAACACAGCCCTGCTGGTCCCTCGGCCTTAGCCCAGTGAGGACCTTGATGGACTTCTAACCCACACAACTGTCAGCTCGTAAGTTACCACTAACTGCGGCGACTTGCCCGACCACCCGATCACGTCAGTCCTACTTCCAAAACGCCTCAAGCACTGCGAGCGGCTGGTCACCTGGGCCGCTACAGCCTCGTGACTGGCCTTCTGCTTGCGCCCTTAGCCCCGCTGTCACTCCTCAACCCAGTCGCAGCGACCCCGTTCAAGTCAGCTCGTGGTTCCTCTGCTCAAAGTCTCTACCGGCTTCCCAGCTCCTGACTCCAAGGAGAACCCCAAACACTTAACAGGACTGATGGGCCTGGTGGCTCCGGTGGCTCCGGATGGGCCTGGTGGCTCCGCCCTCACCTCCGACCGTCCCCCTCGCTCCCCCCACTTCTAGCCCCGTGGCCCCCTCCGTGTTCCTCGGACACCCTGACGTGTGCGGGCCTGGGGACGTCATGGCTGTTCCCCTCTCTGAAAGGCCCTTTCCGCAGGTGTCCCCACGGCTACCACCCTTTCTTCGTGAAGGTTTTCTCACACGCCCACCCGGCGACGGCTCACCGGCCACCCTAAACTTTGACCCACCCCCGCCATGACCCAGACCCGCTTCCTAGCCTCTCTTCCTGCTTTGTTTTTTGCCCCTTCATGCTCACCACCATCTAACAAGGTA